TGAGCCATCCCTTCTGTGCAGGCAGAAACCACTAGTCACCCTGGAATGAGAGCCGGAGGGGCAGACACAGAGATAAAACACAAGATAGAAAGTAACTTGTTTAAACAGTGAAAAATAGTAAGATCATTTAAAAACTGCAACTCTGGAGGACAGTTGCTGTATACTGCTAGCTTAGGAGCTTGCCCTCTGCTTGCAGGCGGTGGGGAGGTTGTTTCTAATGTTGAAATTGTTAATTCCCTTCTGGAAGGCACATTGTACATGGACTTGTGTCAGCAAGCTGTCTGGTTCTCCGTTAAGATATATGCCATCAAGTTTCCTTGGTATGTAATCTGTGTCATTGTAGTAATACCTGTCTGTGAATGAACAGGCACACTCGAAATACGTCATTTACTTGCTAGGATCTCATCTTGGCAGCACTTAGTCAGAGGTGCTTCCGTTCAGGGAAGCTAAAAATGCAGCTGTAATTTCTACCTAACTCCAGCTTGACAGCCTCTTTCCTTCTTCTTTCAAGTGTTACTTTCAGTGGGTTAATTCTGTTATGAAGGGTGATACAGGCCCTGGAGACCAGCACCTAAACGTTATAGGAGGAGGTAAGGTGAAGAAAACCTAAGCTGGTCCATCTCTGTATTGCCTCCGTTTCTGCTTCAGATCCTCCTCCTCTTCTATCAGGTGTATTTTTTCCTGTCGGGGCGATCACATCCTTTGTGAAGGATCGTTGTTTATAATAGCGTATTGGAATTAACCATTCATACAGTAAAAGCGTGATTCAGATTTCCACCATTCATGCTGTTTGACAGACGAGTAACAGTTACTGCTTCCTTTCCGAAAATAATCCTCTCCTCTCTCACTCCGCTTCCTTCTCACCACCTGCTCTCACTGAGTGAGAGTTGTGAAGGAGAATACGTGGCTAAAGTTTGGATTTTGGCATCTGGGTGCCTCTTGGTGGCATTAATAAGAGATTTTTTGCCTGCGTATGTGAAAAGATCAGGAGAGACTGAAAGTGAGGAAATTGAGTTATTTGTTTTTATCAGAAAAAGAGCAGCATCAGGGAGAGAGTTTTCTGAGATTCTCTGATGCTTAGAAAGGCTCGCGTTGATGCAAATGGATTTTGTTTTTGTATTTGGAGATGAAGTCATCTGAGAATGAAATGAAGACTGTTTCATGTGCTGAAACATGTTAACCCTGTCTTTTCTCAGTCGCATCTATGGCTGCCGAAGGTTTCTCATCTCTTGAGAAAAGATTGCTGAAAGCAGGTCGGAGGAGAAGATACACTTGTAATTTTCATTTCGTCCTCACCTTGAGTCACCAGCATTGAGAAATTTTGTTTTGTGTCCAGTCACTTGGTCTGATCAACGGGAAAACAAAGTTTGGTACCCTCTACCCACACTAAACGCTAGTGTGCTTGCTGGTTGTTGCCTTCGCTGATCTTATTGTTCTAAACAATATTAACGTGGCAGGTACATGAGGAGCTCTGGTGGAGTGACTCTGAGGTGAGAGGAGAGGAGGCAGGAACTCCTTAAACTACCGTTGTTGCTGACAAAAGTGTCTGGAACCACTCAGTTAAAGCAGCTGCCTTTTTTCTTTTCTTTTTTGTTTGTTTTCTTTTCTTTTTTGTTTTCTTTTTTGTTTGTTTTCTCTTCTTTTTTGTTTGTTTTCTTTTTTCTTTTGTTTTCTTTTTTCTTTTGTTTTCTTTTCTTTTTTCTTTTGTTTTCTTTTCTTTTTTCTTTTGTTTTCTTTTCTTTTTTGTTTTGTTTTCTTTTCTTTTTTGTTTTCTTTTTTTTTTTTCCTCTGTATTTTATTTTCTTCTTTTTTCCCTGGAAATATATTCCAGTTTCTTGGCTAGAGAGAGAATAGTTACCAAGACTGGGGACAAGGTAAGCAAGCCTTACACCTTTTAGGAGCTTCTACACAACCAGCTCTGCATATACAGTGTCTGCTGCCTGTCAATGGCTGTTCACCTGTGCACGGCTCTCTACCTCATCTGCCAAATTTCTGTGCTGGAGTCATCTTCATCAGAGAACCAACTGGTCATTAATGCCTTAGCCCTCTCTGTAGAGCATAGCTAGCTGTTACTCAGCTGCTGACTCCCATCTTGGCTCTGCAGCTCTTCTCTCCATCCGTTGGTACAGTTGCATCCACACAACCTACTGTTATCATCTGTTCCTCCTCCTTGGGAGGAATCTCCCGTGCCCTGATGAGCTGCCGTTCTCTTGAGTGTCTAAGGATTGCCTTTGCAACCGCTGACATGGCAATGGAAGACCAGTTGTGCTAATGTCCTGGGCTCAGCGCTGCTGACGTACTGGGATACTGGGTCCTGTGCTGGGCCCACCACTTGAAGAAGGATGTTGAGAATCTGCAAGACGATCCAGCAGAGATCTGCCAAGGTCATTTTGTTTAGGAGTATGCGACCTGTGAAAAGAGGCTGAGAGAGCTGGGCTTGTCTAGGCTGGCAAAAAAGGAGGCTGAGGGGTTGATCTGATAGTCTGTGGCTACTTGAGAGAGAGTTAGCGGTAACGAAGCCAAACCCTTCTCAGTTGTGGTAGGTGATAGAACAAGGGGGAATGGCCACAAGCTGCACTTTGGCAGGTTCAGATTGAGAGATTAAGAGAAAGTTTGGCACCAGGGGGGTAGTGCAGCTCTAAAACTGGTTGCCCAGCAAGGTTGTAGAAACTTCATCCTTCAAGACTTTCATGGCTCAGCTGCGTAAAGTCACAGCTGACCTTATCAGGTGTTGGCAAGGCCCTGCTCTGGGTGGGAAATGGGACTCGTTAACCTCCAGGGGTTCCTTACAACCAGTGTTTGACTGGTTCTCTGTTTTGCTTTCTGTCTCTTTTTGACTTTCTCTTCCTAGGATGTGTATCTGCCTGTTGTCATAAAGCAACTCTAACTCAGCTGCTGCAGACACCTCTCTGGTTGTTCCTTGAATGGAGCAAAACTGATGCTGTATCTGCATCTCCTCCTTTCTCCAATAATTTGTGTTTCCCGACAAGTAGTGAATTTGAAAGAGAGATAAAGGTCTCGGAGGTACTATGCTCCTACAGCTTTCATAAAAATGCATGGCTTAGGGATCGTATGGGAAGGAGACAGAACAACTTCTGATGAAAACGGTACGGTGGTATGTGCTCTGGTTGGGAGATAAGTACTGAAATGCAAATAGATAGGAAACTAGGCACCCTTACTTTCCTGATCACAGAACTATTATATAGTGGGCATCTAATCTGGAATTCTAGCAGAGTGGTAAATCACCCAAGTTGGATTTTTTCAAACCTGAATTTCCTCAAGTTAAGCACAAAAGTCAGAGGGCTGAGTTTCAACGCAACTGCAGCTATCGTTACCTTTTTCAGAAATACTGAGGCTGCTAAATCTGATTTTAGATCTCTATGAACAACTTCAGGATAATGCTTCAGAGCTAATCAATAAAGTATATCTTCTGTACTGTGGTGAACTTCATGTACAGTTTTGAAATTTGGTGGAGATGGAATTTCAAGCTTCAAGCATTACTTTTAACTTCGTGATCCTCTGGCTTAGCTGCACAGTTGATAGATCTTAGTGATCCCCCCCTTTGCATTCCTTCAAGCTCATTTTTTCAGTAAATATCCCACTGAATTCAGAAAATTCTCTGATCACGCAGACAAGGGAAGGGGTGATAAAAATGAAGCACCGGTCTGTTTTGGTGCCAGATCTGTAGTGCATTGCCATCAGGTGACCAGTTAGCTGTGCAGAAATCCTGCCTCTGGACGGTTTTCAAAGGTTGTGTCCAGAGGCTTGGAAATGGAGTGAGCAACAGCAGACGAGTTAAGTGACGCCTGGTTTCATCGCTGCCTGCTATGTACCTCTTACAACAGCTCTGCAAGACGCTGCTGAGCCCTCCTACACGGGGATGATTGCACCAAGAAAATGCACAGCCTGTGTTCTTCCTTCAGGTAAAAACTTGGCAGGAGACAACAGCCATTAGCCAGAAAGATTTCTAGCGTTATTTCAGTAACTGCTGGTTCTAAGACAAGGTTGTTTGCAACTAAAACAATCAAAGCCGAGCCCTGCTTTCTGTGTATTACAATTGGAATGAGTACTTTGTGATGAAAAAATAAATAGATTTACTCTGTGCTCACCATGTAATTACCATCCTTGTGCGCTACGGTTTAGGATAAATACCTGAAAAGGGTTACTACTCTGGGGGGGGAGGAGAGGGAGACAGTCTGTTCTGGAAGAAGAGAGACTGTTTGTGACCTGGTCAATGACAGAATCTGCAGTGCACCAAGCTTTACATATTCAGTGAAGATTTACTTAGGAAGGATGCAGGAATTTTAAATAATGGACTTCATGTAACTTCTAACAAACTTGTGTGCTCAAAAGAGGGCTGTCCCTGCACCTTCCACCGATCAGCTTTGCCTGCTAAGGATATCTGTTAGAAAGTGAGGATGAAAAAATGCACTTTACAGCCCCCTGTATCTCAGCTGTAGGGATTTGTGCTGTGTGCTGCTGAATGACTTTTCCCGATAGCACTGTCTGCTTTTTCGCCATGTTGCTATCTGCAAAATACCTGTCTCCTGTCAACTATTATGCATGGCAGGGCTGCGGAATAGAGCTTTGGGGTTAGCCCTCAAATTGAGGGGTGTGTTGTATAGCAGTGTCTCTGGCAGGAAGATGGGTTCAGATGTGCTGACTTGACTTGTTTGCAGCTCTCTGGATTTGCTCGATGTGGACTTGCACGAGCGTGTTTGTATGTACATGCACAAGACACACGTGAGAGAGATTCACATCCTCTTCTCTGCAGAGCCAGGACTCTAAAGGATCAGATGCATTACTGTCTGTTGCCTTTATCGTTTACTTGAGCAACCCCCGAGAGTGGGGTGGGGATTTTTTTTTATCTCCTTTTGACCTGGAGGTGCTTCACTGTCTAGTGCATTGGGTCACGATCTCCTAGTGCTGTGACTGTCGGGTATGATTAGTAGGGATTGTAGCTACTCTGAGATCAGTTGAGATTCTGAAACTTTAACTGTCTTTAGATTGCATTGTTTGCCCCTCATGTTCTATCCCAAAATGCAAATGCATGCAAACTGTGAGTTGCATTTTTAAAAATCTCCTGTGAAATACAGATGCTTCTGGGCATCGTTAAAGAACCAACAGGCTACACAGGGCAACAGCTACTGTGTGAAAAGTGTCCTGCTGTCTCCTGCATCCACAAAAGAGGTTAGGAAACTTTGAGAAGAGCCCTGAAGTGATCTGAAATTTGGACTATGTACAGTGCAATTTGCTTGCCTTGGAAGGATGAAGAATTTAGACAACTCTGCTTGAAATTAAAACTGACTCCAGGGAGGCTAGATGTAACAAACAGGATGGCTGGATCTCAGTGACATTCCCCCTGGGCAATTGGAGTTATTTGTCTACAGAAAATTGCCAAGCTGCTATCTTCTTCTTCTGTAACGCAAGCGAAGCCAAGGGATTTTATTTGGTTGTGAATGCTGCTGAAACTTTATTCCCTTGGACACAGATCATCTGTGCTGAAAGCCAAGTTGCGTCACGAAGCAGGTCTTATCTGTTTAGATCTTAGAGCTTTTTAGAGCAGGGATTAACAGAGGTATGAAGACATAATCTTAACTTTCTAGTATGGACACATAATCCATTAGGGGTGGTTTTCCCCTCGGACATGTATTATTGTATCCCTGACGACTACTTCCAGCACACACAAAAAGTCACTTTAGAGATTTTAAAATTTTGCTATGTGAGCAGAAAGAACACTTTATAAGTAGAGCATGTTGTGCAATGTGGTAACTGCGAAGAACTGGTAGCTCTTGGACCATCTGGGGCAGATTTGTTGACAGCGTTCTAACCAAACCTCAGTTTGTTATGAAGGAAGCTATCATTTTCCTTAGTTTTCTCAACAACAACAAGCTAGTTATGAAATTCTGTAGAGAAATCTACCTTAAATCATGCATGAACTCACTGTGGATTGTTAAATTTTGGAGGTTCTCTTTTGTAGTTGTTTGATCTTGTGGCAGAAAGTAATTACACTTCATCCAACCATGTATACTTGCCTTTTTTCCTTCAGTAACAACCAGCTTAATACTTACTGGAAAATTAACCTTCCTTCCTACAGCCTGAATTTCCTTAAGTCTTGTGTCTAGAGCTAATTTGAACTGTTGAACTATATTTAAGAATGCTGATGTAATTAAATCTGTTTCAGACTTTGGTGTGTTTGGAATTAGTTGCTGATCAGTTTACTTCTTTAGCATAAATTGATACTTGACAATGTCAATATTTATGAAATTGGATTACGTGTGAAATTAAATATACAAGGTTCTCCCCACTGTACAGGAAGGTGCACACTCTTGTCTCCCTGCTTTACCACCCTACTTGGTGCCAGTTCTATCGCATGCTTGCCAGGTGAATTGGTTCGACTTCCTGCAGCGAAATCACGTTCACGTACATGTTGGGTTGATGGCTCAGCTTTGAACCTGATCTGGCAGATGTTCCTGCAGCCATGGGATGGCTCCAACACAAAGGAGATGGTGGGAGCGTGTTGCTTAACGACGGTAGGCGAGCCAGATTGTTTCCACTGCCGCGCTCAGCCGTCGTAGCAGCCTGGAGTTAGAGCGGCTGGGGTGTGATACGAAGCTGCTCACCGTGTGAGCTCTGACCTAGCCAGGGCACTTACAGGAACAGGAGCGCCGAGGCAGCAGAGATTTGAACGAGGGCTGTGCGAGATTTTCAGAGGAGCTTGTGTTGCTACCCACTTGTGCCACCGCTGGAGTCTGTGCTCTCACATTCTTACAGCTACTGTTACTTGAACTGCTGCTGGTATGCCTTTGTGCGTCGCAGTTAGGGCTCAGGACTCGCTTTTGAAAACTATTTCACTAGGGTTGCACATTTTTCTGTCCTAGGCACAGCCTTAAGTTCCCTATCTCATGTTAGCTATGCGTACATTGTGTTACAAGTTCATCCACTTCTGTAGCATTCATGTGTTTATGTAAACTTGTTATAGTCCAAACTTCAAAACAAGAAAAATACACACAAGGGATTTGATGCACAAGCCTGTACAACAGCGGGAAATAAGCGGCCTCCTTCTGGAGGACCGTTCAAGTCATGCTTCCAGGAACTTTAAAGAAATAGATATGTTTTAAATAAGTACACTACGCTGAGTAGTATAACCATCACAATTTTTATTTTGATGAAACTTGAAAAATGTGACTGCCACTTCTGGTTTTTTTTTTTCCTTGCTCGTGTGTTGTTTCTAGGCAGTCTGAATCAGTCTTTTCTTTGCTTACACCTCCCCCTTTCCTCAGCACACTTTCTCCACATCGTTGTATGTTGGACATTCTCATAACAAGTGAATATGGGAAAGAAGGGTTGGCTGGTATCATACTATAATAATTGGTGAGCTGCTCTGTATCTTGTCTTTAGAGAGCTGGAAACCTGTGAATCTTTGTATTTTTGTTTTCACATTATGTATTGGTGTTGCGGCCTTTGGCGGATTTCCATCTGCGCATCTGAGCTGCCCATGCTGAAATGTCTCGGAAGGTGTTCTGTGAAAGGCTTTTATACATCTGCAGAAAAAGTGCTGAAGAGCTGTTTGACATTGCTGCCCCAGGATCCAAAGTTTTGGGGGATTTTCTTCCTTCTAATTAGAAGCAGAACTTGCTAAGAAAGCTATAATGGGGCAAGAAATCCATTGTCAGTTATATATTGGGTTTTTCCGTGCAAGACCTCAGGATATTTGTTTTCCGTCAAGCAGCAATGTTCTTGCATCTTCAGAATAGTCTACGAGCATGAGCTAATTAATCTCCACAGTACCTCTGGGAAGTAGACAAGTAGAGTTTTTAAAAAATAAATAACAGAAGCTGAGTTTTCGATATTTCTTGTGCCATCTTGTGATATTTACACTTCACTGGGGCAGCGACACACCTCCTGGGGATGAACTACGTTTTATCGATGCATAAATAAAAAGGCTCATAATATATGAGGTGGTGTAGGTATTAAAGTAGACTTATTCAGGCATTTACTGGCTGTTTTGCTAACCTGCTACCCCTTTTGTAAGTGATCACTCTTTCATAGCACAAGGGGAGGAAAGAATTATAACCATGATTTTCATCTGCAAAACAGACAAAAAATGTTTCGGCAGCATAGTGGAGCGATAATTTACTTAAAAGAAAAATAATAAAGCCACAGAGGAAAAGTGGGCTGTTGAACTCTGCTGGAGTTCATCAGAAACTCTTCTAACAGGCACCTCTGTGTCGCAAGCAAATCCCCGATTCCCAAAAGAAGCCTTGGAGACGGAGAGGACTCTACGTTCTAGCAGTGATTAGTGTCCATTAAGATTTAACTCGGTGTCCAGTAAAGTGCTTTTGGCTACAAGCTCATAATTCTTGATGCATATTTGAGACTGCTTGATCTTGTGCATTATCCAGTGAAGAACTGAAAGAGTTTTCTGCTCCCCCCCATCTTGAATGGAACTATATTTCCTTGACTAGCAACCTTTTTTTCAGCGAGTCTGATGTAGTTTAGGTGACAATCTGACCGTTGAAAGCTCCAGTCATCTCGCTTGTTCCTCACCGATGGTTTTTTCCCACTGTTACGTGGCGTGTAGGAGCTAAACCAGTAGCAGGGAAGTCTAGAGCACCAACATTGCTGACCCAAAGATACTGCTGTCATGCAAATAACAAGTGCTTTGCTTTTGCGCTCAACTTCGTTATCCTTTGGGTGCAGGTTGTGTTGGGGATTGCTGATCTAAAGGCTGGGAAACCTTAATGGAGACTCCAGGGACGGGTTGCTTTTGAGCATTGTCAGAGTAGTGTGCTGGTCTTGCATTGACAGTGAGGGTGAGATATTAACTGTTCCACCCGGGAGCAAACAGGAAGGATTTAAAGAATGATTTTTGTTGGATTTCAGAGGCTCTGAATTCTGGAAGGGATGTTTTATTCCGTCTCCTGGTAAAGCATGTGGTGGTGGGTTGACTTGGCCGGCTGCTGGCTGCCCACCCAGCCGCTCTCACCCCCTTCTTCAAGAGAACGGGGGGAGAAAATAGGATGAATGGGTGGAGAGAACAACAGGGAAACCACTTACTATCACCATCATGGGCAAATGAGGCTTGACTTGGGGAAAACTAATTTAATTTATTGCCAATTTAAATAACTTAGGAGCATCGAAACGTAAACCACCACCTTCCCTTCACCCCTTTTTCCAACTTCAGACCTTCATTCCCGACCCCTCGACCGCCCTGGGCTCTGCATGCACTGGCATGGGGCAGCAGCAGCCGGGGCTTGGGGGGACAGTCCTGACTATGTGGGTGCTGCCTTCCATCCATCTGGATATTTGTGGGGAAAAAAGAGGATCCGCACTGAAATACCGTCCTCATGTTGTGTCGCTTCTCCCTCCCTCTTTTGGTGGTAATGTGATCAATGTAGGTGTGTGAGTTGAATGCAGTACTTTTTCCTGATAAACAAGCTATAGTCAGCGCATATTACAATAATATGAACTTCCTGAGATTCTCAGTGCTCTAAGATGTCAGAAAAGCTAATGATGTTTCCAGTTTTTAAATTAATTTCTGAGTCCTTTGTATCAGACAAAGTAATGGCAACTTTGCTGGATAGACACAACTGGTTTTTTTCGATAAGTTAACCTGGAATGTGCTGGATATATGAAGGGACTGTTCAGTAAAACGTTTTTCTAGTAGCTTCTCTCCCTGCGTAATTTGGCATTTTAGAAGTCTTCTGCGAGCTGAGTGTTCTCATGCGTATTTCTAATTTTAGGTAGTTCAGATAGATCAGAGGAAGACAGACGTTAAGTCGACATCTCACCTTTAATTGTAAATGATTTATACTAAAAGAAATGGATTTACATTTAAAACTTAGATTTTTAACCAAAAAAAGGTTCAAGTCTCAGTTACTTTCTTTTTATCTGTTCTGCTGTAGTGCTTCTCCTCTGCTGAGAGCTTTCTTCAGCAACTGCCTCCAGAGAGAGAAGCTGTAAACATACCTGGTCTGCACACAGGCAGCAGAGCTGGCCAGGAGCTGGTTAATTCGTTGTGCTGACATTTTTTCTTGAGTTCCTGAGAGGCAACCTCCTGTTCTTCCGATCCAACAGGCCCTTTTTTGTGCAAAGTCAAATCTTACATTTGTCAGAAGATTGATTATTTGAACAAAAGTCACATGGTGATGTTATCAGGAGGCGGTTCTATAATCTTTATTCAGTGTCACAGTCTTTTTGGAAACAGCTTTTATTCTTAGACTTTGCAAATTGCATTTCAAGTTCATGAAACTGGGTAGATTTCTAGAGTTCTTCAAAGTACTTGTATGGTTTGCCTTTTATCCCCCCCCCCTTTTTTTTTTAATATCTTCAGAATTCTCTATCTCTTCGTAAGTCTTCAGTATTTGCTTGAGTCCGACAACTCCTTCAGCATTTCAGAAATCTTATTCGGAGGTCAGTACAGCAAGTTATAGGGTTGACAAAAATAGATACTAGGACTGAACCTTCCAAAGTCACTAAAAATGGCTTCTTTGGAAGAAACAGGCAGATTATGGCCTTATTTCAGAGCTGGATCCGAAGTTTAACCCTTCTGTTTGAACCTGATTTAAAAACAAAGGATGCCTAAAGGATGTGAAACAAAAGAGCAAAACACGGAAACAAAAAACAGAAACCAGAAATGTGATCAGACTTTTTTTTTAAAAAAAAAGGGGGGGGGGAAAGAAAGCGCTGGGATTTGCGCATAAAAGCATTAGAACTCTTTGAAGAGGCTGGACAGACTAACTTTAATGTCCCGGTCCTTGATTTCTCCATCTCTTCTGTCGTGCCCTGTGGTATACATGGGTTGTCTGATGTTGCTCCACCCTCCGAGTGATGCTTTTCTGTGGTGCTGCGCCTGTAATTGGTACAGTGCTCTGGAATGAAGTCTTCTGTGTAATTACCAGAGTATTTGGTTTTTTGCGGTGCGAGGGTGGTGAGAGAGAGGAGATTGCAATCGCTTAGAAGCTGTTCCTGCCTTTTTTCAGAATCTGGCTCAACTGAGATCATGGGACCGTTCGTTTTGCCCTACTGTTTCCGGTAATTAGGCATTTCTAAGCAGCAGGTCAAATCCATTTGTCTCTTAGAGGGACTGTTTAGTTTGTTCTGCCGCTGTTAGTGACGGGGTTTTCTGGGGGGACCTCTGTTTTTTGAGCTGCTGTTCTGTTCTAGTGCTAATCTTGGTGCAGGCTCCCCGGGTGTAGTTTAGTGCTTGGCTTTAGAGGGCGAGGGAGCGATTGTAATTTTGCTGTTATTTATTTTGCAGTCAGTATTGTTCCAGCACGCACTCAACAAGTTTCTTTCCCAAGGGCTACGGCGCGCTTTTCACGCAGATTTCTCACGTGGGCCTTGGCAGGGGGTAGGGTGACCAAAGCTACCCTCCCTTCCAGGGGAGCACTGTGAGGGTGTGCGTGGTTGTTGCCTGAGAATGTACAGAAGCTCCTCTGAAGTAATGCAGTGAGAAAAAAGGAGATGGCTAGCATTACTGGAAAAAAGGACTGAATCAGAGGAGAATACTGTGTTACAAATAGGTGGCAAAATTAGAGTAAAATAGGTATGTTCACCAACCCCCTACACACACCCCCCTGCCTCGGACGGACTGCAGAAGGTAGGAGAGAGCGTGCGCCCTCTGAGCTCTGCGTGAACAATTTTCACCAGTTTAGCAACAGGCTGAACAACTCTGCATTCCTCGTGTGTGTGCGCTTGTCTGCTCCAGTCCCCGGCTGGCAGGTGGGCTCTGCTGGGGCTCAAACCGTGGACTTTTCAACTGCTCCAGCTTGACACGCTGTTCTCAGCAGGGGCGTTATGATGTATAAGGGACGTTATGATGGCAGCGGTGACCGAATGGTGTGGGTTTTTGCTGCTGCGCCTGAAAGAGCAGCTTTTGTCTTTTTATTTTAGAGCAATGCTGTACCTGGAAGTTCAGCTCTTAGCACTTCTAAAATAAAAAAGAACAGAGCTCAGGAAAAAGCTTTTGGTCTCGGACTTCACCATTTCACTTTCAAAGCCATAGATCTTAGATGGAATTTAAAGAAGGAAAAATAAAGGAAGGCAGTTCAGAAAACAAGGGGAGGGAACACACACGCGTTCATTGTTTGTTTCAGTGACTCTCCAGGGCTTTTTTGGTGTGTTTCCTAAGCTGTAGAAATATTTGAAGTAGGATAACATCTTCAAATAAAGCGCAGTTTTGTCAGACACATTCAGGCGTTATTTCCTTGTTCGGCTGACAAAACCATGTTTTCATCTTGGCTGGTTTCTTGTAGTCCGGGCAGCGTATGCAGTGATATCAGCCTCTTAAGTTTCCCCGTAGCTGATTTTAGACTTGGAGTCAGCTGCTTGATATCCCCAAATTTTCTCAGCCTCGGATGTCTTTTTGCCTAACAGGAGTCTCCTCCTACCCACACCCCCTTCCACCCCACCCTGGGTTGCTCGCGCCGTCTCTCAGCTCCCCCACCCTCCCTTGGGACGGGAAAAAATGAAGCGTCTCCCCATCCCGGGCAGATTCTGTCACTGTTTGCAGGGAGGACGGTGCGCGTCCCATCCCCTGCGAGGGAAAGCGAGTGACCGAAGGGCAGCTATTGTTCAACTCGAGCCAAGGAGCTGAACGGAGAGGCTTGCACTCGACGGGCTTCGGCTCTGGCTTTTCTGCATTCCAAAGCGTCTGAGGCAGAGGAAAGAGAGCGCGGGAGAGAAGTCTGCAGAGGCTACGCCGACTTTCTGGTTGGCGTGCTGGCTTGACCATGGTAGAGGTATTAGGATTACCGCAGAATGCAGTTCACAGGTGAGAGATCCCTCCTGACACGGGCCATGCGAACAGGGGACTGTATTGCTGCCGTATTGCCGCTGAGGGTAGGGTGCAGATAGGTATTTGGCTGCGAATTTAAAGTGACTAGACTTAAAGCAACCAGAGACTTGGAGTTTGGGTTTTTTTCCATGTTGCATGTATGCGTCAAGTCTTTTCTTCATTATTTTGGTTTTATAAATAGGTTTTTGAAGAGATATTTACATGGATTTAATGCGATGAACAGAAAATTGGATTATTGGTACTTTTCTGCTCACTAGTACAGAAAGTACATGTTAGTATTCAAATGTCATGTAGATGCGAAGATGAGAAACACTTTTTTGTAATGGCTTTTGAAGTTAAAAATCTAGTTTATTGCTAATTAAATCATTAGGTTTACCGTTCTCCCTCTCCCTAAAAAGCTTTACTTACCTAATAGAAGTCAGTACATTTTTATATGACATTGGATTTCTGGATAAGGCCAGACATCATTCTCCAAGGGCACACTGTGGGAAGATTTTTCGGTGTTTACCCGTGGCTGGCACTGTGTGATGTTTCCAGCATTTGATGTTGCCAGCCTTGCTTCCTGTCCTCCAGCAAGTGATGGTAAATTGGAGCAGTTCAGGGAATCCTACAGGTTGCTCGTAAAAACAAGAGGATTTATTCTCTTTTCAATATAAAGGACACTGCTTCAGTAATGCTGCTCGCTTTTCTAGCAGCTTTTCTCTTAAAACGTATTGTTAAGTGATTGCAAGCTGTAAAGCATTGAAATTTCGTGCCTTTTGATATAGTTAAACAGTTTTCAGCAGCTACAAAAGCAGTAAATGTCTTCTAAGGAAACCAGGAATGGAATCTCCCGAGTTAATTTTTTTTCTACCTTGGAAACACCCTTTAATAGGTACTGATTATGAAGTCCTTAGTCATTTTCCTCCTCATCTGTAGACCGGGGAGAATACTAATTTGCTAACTTGGAGAGACTGTTTTTGTGAGCCTGAACCAATGAGGTGGTTTCTGCGGCTGCTTTTGAATTACATGATCAGAAAATTAAAACCTTCTGCCTTAGCCTTTTTTTGGACAAGCATGCATTTCTTTCAAAAACGAGCAAACTTTCGGTAAACTGATCAGAAAAGCTCAAGGCAACACAATCCCAGTCCCTTCCGAGTTTCACTGAGGTGATTTTTGGGGTGGTTACCGAGAGGTACCCTTTAGAATTTTCTGTCTCTTTTTGGGGCTCTTCCACACGATTAACATGTTAATAGGGTAGTGAATTAAAAATACAATACTGGGGAGTTCTGGCAGGCAGACGTGAGCAGCAGCTTACATTCCTGCAAATTCTTCATGTTGTGCCTAGCTTTATCTCATACTCGGTGGGTGCTCTCGCTCTTTCTCTCTCTGAAAATCTGTGGGGAGGGGGTAATTGTAACGAATACTTGTGGTGACTTCTGTCAGAAAGATCTGTCATGGCTCTTTAAAGCTCATGGGAACAAATGGGCTTCATTTGTATACAAGCAGGAGATAGGGGCATAGTGAGGCTTGACTTGCTCCCTGAATACTGGAAGTCAGAGAATTCTGCGATGCAGCAAAATATAGGGTATGGACAGCATTTGTAAATGGTTTGTCGGCATCCAGAGACAGGTTCATTTTCCAGCCCTTAGAGGTACATACCTTCTTAAAACTTAAATTTTCCACAAAGGGAATACTTCCTTTTATCGAGATTTCTTGGCTAATTGGCATCAGACAGCACAAATGCTTTTTAGGAGAGCTGATAATGGTGGGGTTTGAAACTGGGCCAATGGCAGCAGGGAGACCTAATGATCCCCTTCCATTTAATTTTCTACATGTATGGGTGACTGCTTCTAGTAAGGGAGAAGGGAAAGCTGCACAAGAAACCAGCAAGCAAATGATGCAACTACACTCAGCGCTTACGGTTTCAAAAGTGGTCAGCAGACTTCCACTATGTAATGGATTTAATGGGAAATGGTGCTGAAATTGTTGTGGTAAACATGACTGCAAAACTTGGTTTGATCCTTTTTGAAGTAGGCTTCAGGCAGATTTGCAAGCTCAGTCGTGCTGAAACTGTGAAGGCCAGGTTGTTTTTCTAGAATACAGGCTATAATTGTCTCCGCATTTGTTTGATTCCCAGGGTAATGGCTACAGAAAAAAATGTCAAATGTACAAAATACAGTGTCATTCTAATGCCAGCCTTCACAGCATGCATGCTCTTAAATCCCTGTTCTGTTACGTCCTAAGGTCACTCTAGAATGTCACCTGTATTCTCCAGGGAAACTCTCACCAGAGTGCCCAAGAAGAATCTTCAAGATGTTGCGAGAGTCAGAAATTAAGCCCATGTCCACAAGATGGAGGGCTTGGTATGCCCCTGTAAATAATCCCTAAACTATACAGTCTCTTTACCTTGCGGTGTTTCCTTGCTTCACCACTAAATTTGGTCCCTAATTTGGAAACAGATTAAAAAAAATCCTTCATGTACTGCCTTTCTTGTACTGATCTCTGGTGTTTGGAGATGCCTTGGGCTTTGGCGGTTGCCTTGTTTTGATGCTTACAGAGAGATTAACATAGTATTCCTATAAACACAGGTGGAACGGAGTAGCAAGAGGGAGGGAGACCACATGATTCATAGGCAGGGGTAGGAAAGCATGTTGCTGGCCATAACCACTCGTCCTCCAGAATGCTCCTGCTTTGCTGCTACATACCTGGTGAGTGCAAGCTGCGTGCCTTTGGGCTACCAGACAGTAACAGGGTTTTGTTGGTGGCTTTCTGTCTCGTTATCTGGTGTTAGAGGTGCCAGTTATTGTGAATTAGGCCAATCAAGGAGATTTCGACTCCCACTTGATGATGTTGGCGAAGCTGTGGTTTCTGGAGATGCGAAGGGAGCAGGCAGTGACCTCAGGGTGGAGCAAAGCTCCCTGTTGGCATGGCACCCTCCACCCTGCTCTGCAAGACCCGACGGTATTCAGTTTCTGCTGGAAATAAGCAAGTTGAACTTGTTGTGGGAGTGCTACGTAACCTTGATGAAACCTTGTAGGGAGAGGGTAAATAAGTTGATGGGATGGTGTGGTGATTCTTAGGTGATCTGATGAGCAGCTTAAGAAATCATATGGTCAGTAGGATATCATCTATTAATCATGTTGAATCGCTTCCCAAAATACTTTGAAGCCATCTGTGTGAGTCTTACGCATTCTGATGGCACCAGAATGTTGCAGACTAAATAATAAAACATTTAGTTCTCTCTCATCTGAAACTGTTTTTCTCAAAATGTTGTCATCTATAATGTGATCATGTCTATTCATAGAAGGCAACCCCGGCCCCCAAACTAACCAGCACCGAAACCCCAACTTGCTTGTTGTTTGCTTGTTGGAGATGTCATCCAAATAAGAATCTTTTTAATTTTTCTAAAGAAAAATTGTTCTTGGCTGTTTCCCTGCTCCAGCTGAGAGTGTATGCCCAAGGAAATACAGTATGTCAGAAAGCAATAGTAGAGACCAACATGAATGATGGTAGTAACCCAACAGAACTGCCTTAATCAGTTATTTTCACTTGTATTTTTTTCAGAATTTGGGCAAAATTCAGCACTTGTGAAGACACGAGTTGTGCAAAGTGCTTGCCCCGCAGGGTGAGCAGAAAAAGTTGTTTCCCCTTTCCATGCCTGACCGCAGCGCTAATGGGAAAGTGCTTTGCTGTCCCGGTAGCAGCCTGGAGGACAGCTTAGTGCAAGGTGTCCCCTTCCCCCAGAAAACCTGCCGGCTTGATTTCTCTTTCTGACAATTCAGAGCACGTCAGCATCTGGAAGTGCAAAGGATCGAGCAGTTGAGTCCTTGAGGATAGTAATGACCTGTCAGATTGCCTACTCTTTGTACTGTACCTGTCCCTATCAGTTACATTACAAGCACTGGGAAGAATTACTTGAAAGATAGTTTTTCCATGGCGTTCCAGTATAATTTCTGACAAATCCATCATACGTGAAGTGCTTCTCCTTGTCTGTCTTTCTAATAAAGCTCCTTTATAATGACTTAGAACAGATAAAATCTGAAGGGCCTCTAAGATCATCTGTAAAATAGCAGTGCTGCTGTACCTGAAGGGCTTAAGCAAGACTTTCTGTGCCTTTGGAGCCAGGGCAGGGAGGAGCGGGTGCTGCAGCTTACTGCCTGCCGGCAGTGGGGCTTCTGGGCAGGTACTTTTTTCTTTTTTCCTTCTTCTTAATACCTGAGAGACTTGGAAGTGCAGCCAGCAGAGCTGTATCTGGGTTTTCCTTGCTTGGAAAGGTTGATTTTTTTTATTTTTTTTATTTTTTTTCCTTGGAATACCCGAGTGATGCAAGTCAGGGGGGATAGAAGGAAGGAAGCTGTATTGCCTTTTTTTTTTTTTTGTGATGTTAGCAAATATTTGTACTTGGTTTTTGCTTTCTCCAAAACACTATTTTCCTTCAGTAGCTCTACAAAAATAGTGTTTGTTCTTGTTAATTTTCGTCTTGGTCATGTTTAAGCTGCACTCATATTTGAAGTTTGCATTTCTCGGAAATCCTTGTTCAGAAACAACAGTGTGATGCTGACACCACTTGAGACACTGACAACTTCAGTCCTACCAGTATCAAAGTTAAAAAGTCACTCCCCATCCCTCTTTCATACTGCTTTAGAAGATGGAGGAGCTCTTGGATTTCTGGGCTGGATCTTCAGATGTGCGAAGGAGGTGCTTAAATTGAAGTGCTTGAGACTGGATTCAATTTGAGCTGTGACTTCCACAGTGTTACTGTGCAAGGGCTTCCACAGCGATCTTGGTGCTTGGCGAATCTGGGTAAGCGTGGGAGTTGGTTGGTTTTTACAGCTCCATGTTTTCAGGACATTTTGAGTCTGCTATTTGTTTTGAACACCCCAAGTTTTTGGTTGGAGGGAAAGAATATAGAAGGTATTCTTCATTAACACATTCTTGGGGAAAAACTTCGTCACGTGAATACCAGCATCAGGAATTAAGTAGTCTTTACATAGTGCTTATTAAATATATAGCTGGATGTATTCATCCTTTAATACAAGATGTCTGTTTACATGAGGCATATGGCTCACAGTTTGGAAAGGCACTCCAGAGTGGATGACTCTGTAAATAATGTCTTGCCCTAATTTGGAAATAAATTAGCTTAATGTTTTTAGAGTAGTCATTAATAAATGCTTACAAACTACCATACTGCTAGCAGCATAACTTAGCTGAATCCCTTGGCTGTGCTGAGGATACCTGAAGTTGGACTGAGTACAAAAATGTAATAAAGTTGGTGTGGAAATGGGGAAAAAAAAACTCCATGGTTGCTTCATCAGTGAAGTTCTGAAAATCCAGCAGTTTCCAGCAGAAATATTTGTCAGAGCTCTTAGTGCTTCTGGCTGGGTCACTGTTTTGTAACATTGGCAAAGTGTTTTTCCATGGGAAAATGGAAAACAGTAACAGGGCGGTTTGACCTATAGTAGTAAAACTTTTCTATTGCTAGTTCTGATGTTTGGAGCTGGCTTACTTAGGGTTAACATGCCCAAGAAATAAAATCACAGTAATTTGCCTACTCCTCAATTACAGTATTTTTTTAAACATCATTTAAGACTGCGTCTTTCTTGCTGTATGTGAGCAGCAGGATAGTTCCTTCTGTGCTTACCTTCTCAGGCTCTAGATAGATGCTGGACGTTCTCTGTGGCGCAGGTACAACTCGCTCTGTTGATCTTCAGCTGATGGTTTGACTCCCAGTCTTCTGTCTCTTCAAGTATCTCTTTATTAATGCAGCCTGGGGGGGAAAGTATAGGGGTGTGTAGTCTTAGACTCAGCAAAACTTAATTTTGTGGGCAGGTGCATTTAGAAACGTGAAGAATTCATCTCCAGCCCCTACAGCATTAGTGTCTTGCATCAGTTTTGCCAGGAAAACACAGTACTGGGATTTAGAGAGGGAACTGGGGCAGACATCCTTCACAGCCTTCTAAAAAAAGCCACCTTGTTTGTTGTGTTAGAATGTTCAGGAGGAAAATATTATGGAAAAATTGAAGAGGTATTCTAAAAGTAGTTTACTCTTCAGCTCCTTAGCGAGTAGCTTCATAGGCTTTTGAAGGCTTTTTTTCTTTAACCTGAAAAGCATGTCTGTAATTTGAAGTTACTGTGCATCCTCAAAATAGTTCATATGCACCGAGGAAACACGATGTAATGGGAGGTCTTTTAAGACATAACTTGCTATTATGGAAGAGATCTTGAAGCGTTGATTAGATTCATACAGGCAGTTAGGTGTAGCTTTATACTGCCAGGGAAGTATAAGCAAACTGCCATGCTGATAAGTGTTGTTTCTGTGTCCAAGTAAACTGACTTCAGTGAATTTTGCCTGAGGCCCGTGGCCAGACTTGGCGTGTTGAGCCATTTTTGAAGTGCTTGTGGTAGGGACTTGCTGCTCAGTTTCCCTAAAGGTGAAGCATGAATAGCCAGCCAAGAGGCCAGATGATTTTGGTAGACGGGCTCCGTGGGCGCAGAAGAGCTTTATAAAGGCTAGCCCCTTTGGGTTTAGTTTAGATTTTCATTTCAGTTGCTGACCTGTTTGTCTCCAATGCCCTGTCAAAACAAAGTGTGGAAATCGCTTCCTGATGTTATTTAAAATGTCACTTGTACAAGGGAGCTCTTGCCTGTATTATTATATACCAGAGAACTTTAAGGCTTGTTGTTTTTCTCACCTTCAATTGGAGCCTTTCTGTCCCTATTTATCTTCACAGGCTGTCAGCAGGCACAGCTTTCGCTGCCCCTGGATTCCTCACTGCTCCAGCAATTGTTATTTAGGAAATTCTTTGCTCTGCTTCCCTCCTGAGTAACCACTAGGTTAACATCTCTGATCTCAGCTAGGCTTGGAAGGCTGGTGGTGTTCACTCTGGAAAGCAAGAGGAACTCTTACCCTGGTAAAAGATAATATTGCCTCAGTGCTGTAGCATGTAGAGGTATTCATCTTCAGCTGGATGAGAGCATTTGAGAGTGAGTGCTAAAGATCACTGACTGTGCTAAAATCACTTCATTAAGCAATCTGAAAGCATAAAATACTAGACAATAATGTGTATGTGTGGGCTGGCGCTTCATCAGCGCAGTTTCACTTTCCACAACAGAAAGGGCTGGCTTAGAGAGAGGCCTGAGTGTCCATCAGGTTTTTTTCTGATAGAAAGGGCATTTTGCCCTTTCTTGTGCCATGCTCCGGCGGGGCTATACACATCTTCTCATGTCTGACATAAATCTGCTATTGATTTACGTTGCAACAGAGTGTTACTGTTCTGCTGCTCATAGCTTGTTCATAGGATTGTGTCATGGTATTACACACTGGTTTTGCTTATTTAACTTCAGCTGAAAGTTATCCGTGTCACAGAATGATTGTGAATCCTTTCACCATGATTCCGTAATACGCCATGAGTTGCTCGGCCTTGTCCATCCGGATGCTCTCGAACTAGATTATAGCGTGGTTAGAGGGCTGTTCTATTGTAGTACCACTTCTCAAGGCAAAATGACTTTCATTGTAGATAGGCATTTAAAATGATTTAATGCAGGAAACAGAGCCTTTTGCATATAGAATTGACATTTTTAGATGTCTGGAAAACTTACTTTCAAGCTAGCTTGCTCATTCTGTGCTGTGGCATTGAATAGGATTGGAAAGTGATTACTGCTTGGCATTTTCCTGGGGCAAAATGACTCCAATAACTTTTCTTATTTCCTAATGGACAAGCGTAGAGGTGAGTACTGTTGTCTGGTACATATGACATTGATCCAGGGGTTAGGGAAGCGGATGTTTATTGTTTCTTGTGGATTAACTAGTGCTGCACCTCAGCAAGCTATTTTATATGTCTCTGCTTGCCTGCTTTTCGTGAAAAAGTTGCCCTCTCCTTACCCGCTGTGTCCCTGTTCTGAAGGGAACATTTCATTTTT